CCTCACAAGATAACGACTAAACACACCGACGACGTCACTAACGGACACGATTGGAATCTTCCACACGATAATCACCTTTAGAAAAAGGTGTATTTCAAGATCCAGCTGAAACAAGTGTGCAAATATTGTGTTTTGAGCTTACTGCCGAGACGGTGTTGACAGTCCTGTGATCGTTACAACAAAAACGGTAGGGCCAAAGTCTTAAGATTAAGCTGATTATCCCTCCTGTGTTGGAAGACGAATTCAAGACGGGGAAATTTCATAGCCTGATAGCAGGCTTCTTGACGGGGCTTTTAATTGGCTTATAATTTGCTGTTTTCTGATTGTACTCTGTTTCTAACAGCTTAGGCTAGGTGACTGTCAGAAAGATGGTACACTCAGAACACAGCACATAATAAGCCAAAGAAAGCCTAACCACGAAGTCTGCATGCTATAGATGCTGAGGTTTCTCCCATTCCTTGTCCGACATAAGGCGCCTTCAAATACTATGTATACGGAAATGAGAATTCGATTTTATGGGGCTACATTATTAACATTGCAGTTTCAGAAAGACCTCGGCAGTTGCATACTCTTACGTGGATGAATCTATTTGTTGCACGTTTTTATCAATAACATTGTGTATGTATATATGTATTTATGTATGTATGTATAGATTGCCCAAACTGAGACGATACCTGTGTCAATGAATCGATTATTGTCGAACATGCTTCGTGTCTGATTTTTTCCATGTACAGTATGTTGGCAAGATCTCTCTCCTCTCTCCCTCACACACACACACGAAAGATCGCGTGGTCATTAGCTTTCACCTCGCCGACAAGCTAGTAAAAGTCCATCAAAGTCCTATTAGCCATGTTTACACAATATAAGCCGCATTGTTCAAAGTTCGCAAGAATGCCACACTATCACAGAAATCATATCAAGGGCCCCACCTTTTGTGTAAACATCCCTTCTTAATAGTTATGAGTTTTCGTCTCTTTATTAAAAAGCTATGTATATTTTTTCGTTCGTACGCAAAGTGACACCGTTGTTGACATTATCATTTTTTTCGTCGTACTTTTATAGCTATATTCTTACACAACATTCCTACATATTATGCATTGTTTGTCTTCTTTGTTTACTTTATATTCATTTTAGTATTGGATAGCGTAGCTTAGCACGCACATGTAGAGGTGTACTAGCTTAGTCAGTAGTTCTATTCAACATTCTGCCAGAAATAGTACTCGTT